CTTGCAGTTTTAAGATGGTAGAGAAAAGACATTTTATTCTCCTCTCCCCTCTCAGCAACAATTAAGATGAAATAGAAACACATGTGCAGCACTGATGAAACTCGTAGACACTTCTGTTCGTAAATCATACTATATGAAGATAGAAAGTAACTGGAAGATTCCAGCCTTAGAAGAGAAGAGAAAGGTTGAAGACCTGCACCTGCAGAAAATGAAATCACCAAGAAGCAAATGGATTTTGTGCTGTAAAACCCCTGAAAAGCTTAGGTTTAAAGGCACTAGTTGGGGTGAGGCAACTGATGAAAATAAGGAGATTTGTTCCAAACCTACTTAATGAGCATTTCATCCTCACCATCAACCCAAACAAAGGGATAAAACACTTCCCTACATATATTTTTTGGGGCAAAAAATTCTAGTATGGTGGGGTTAGATCCTGGAGTAAAAATATGAATGATGGAAACGTCTCTTTCTTATAGTTCTATTATATACAGCTAAATACTTCCATCATTTTCTCTGGAGAGCTCTTGGCAGAAATCCAAATATTTTTAGATGCATATTATAACTTTCAAGTTACCAAATATTTATAAAACAGTTCATCCCTACATAACACAGATCATATTTTTCTTTCCAGCTTCCTATTACCCAGTCTCCAAAGAAGTGTCCCTATGTTTTGTTCTTCATGTGTCTATAACTCACCACTTATACCAATTTCTGATACTAATTTGAAGCAATTTCTTGATACCAACAGCTATTGCCACAAAATACTACATTACAAACATCCAAAAACTCAGTGCCTTAAAAATAATTGTAATTTATTATCATTGATCTGTGAGTCACCTGAGAGTTGGTAGAGCTCAGCTGGACTCTGGCCTGCTCTGCTGGTTTAGGTTGAATGTGGCTAGGACCAATTGACTGGCTTTGTTCTATTTATTACTCATCCTCCGTGAACCAGTAGGCTAGTTATCAGCATGTTCTGCCACTTCTGATGGCATAGTATGAGAGAGCAAGCACAACCACATAAATGCTTTTCAAGCCTCTGCTTGTAACATAGCTAGCTGCTAATATCCCATTAGCCAAAGTAAGTCACATGGCCAAACCTAGCATCAGAGCACCGGGAAGTATACCCCAACCACATAAGTGGGACAGGGAAAGAGAACAGTGAATATTTTTGAGCAATAATTAAATCTACCACATATGGTACTGTGGAATTATAGAATCACCTCCAAAGAGAAAAAGTCATTTGGTCCAAAGGATTGAGAATTAGAATGGCAGAACTTCTCAGAATGATTCCATAAGTTAGAAGTCAGTGGAATGTCTTCCAAATTCTGAATGAAACGATCTAAATCTAGAAGCCTATATCCAACCAAATTAGTCAGTTATAAGGCTAGGATATAGACATTTTGAGAGATGCAGCGTCTCAATTAATTACCTCCCATATATCTTTCTACTAGAGAATAAGATTCACAAAAAAAAAAGGGACTAAATCTAAGAAAGAACAAGATGACGAATACAGGAAATAGGAAATCTAACAGAGGAGAGAGATGAAAGAAATTTCCAGCGTGACAGCACATTGAAGTTCTGTCCTGTTGTATGAAGAGAAAGAGGCATGCTGAAGCAGAGGGATGCCTCAGGGCTCTCTGCAGTGTGGGAAAATCTAACTGTGTGAAAAATATATAAAATGCAATTGTACAGAATGGGAAAACTCAAGTACATAAACAATGAAAAACTAAACAAAGAAACAAAAAATGGTGCTATTATTAACTCCAGGAAAATACAAAAGATGTATATGAAAAGAAATATAATCATAGTTCACTCTGGTTCAGCTGTAAACAATATTTCACATTAAGGTAGTTATGAAAATTGTACTATTGGAAGGATGGGAAGAAGTGAAATCCTATCTACTATATTAGATAGTTACTAGATAATATACAACATGGATAAATCCGAAGTAAGCAATATAATACATATTATTTAGCAGTATGGAAGAAATGTATGGACTCTGGAGACTGGAATTAGAAAATATAAAGGGTGGGACATGGGATAGCTATTTTTCGTTGCAAATCTTTTATCAACACTTCACTCTTTTGTAAAAATGTGTGCATATATTATTCTGATAAATATTTTAAAGGCTTAGGGAAAGGTAATAAAATAATCCCGTATAATACTTGGTGAGACCAAAGTTCCTCCATTTTGTCATTTATTGACTAATCATTTATGCTTGGCTCTGAGCATCAAAATAATGATTAACAATGCACAGTGTTGGGGCACCTGGGTGACTCAGTCATTTAAGTGGCTGACTTTGGCTCATGTCATGAACTCACAATTTGTGGGTTCGAGCCCTGTATCAGGCTCCACGCCGACAGTGTGGGGTGTGCTTGGAATTCTCTCTCTCTCCTTCTCTGTCCCTCCCCAGCTTGCACTTTCTCTGTCTCTCAAAAATAAATAAACTTAAAAAAAACCCACAAACAATGCACAATGTTTAGTGATTACAAAACAATATTTCCATATAGTTTTGTGATTTGATTCTCACAAGTCTGTAAGATTGATACAAAAGCAAATTTACCATGATACTAATGAATCTTAAGCTTCAGGACCTCTCAGTGAATGAACTGTTTCCTAACCCTGGGAAGGATCACTAGCAATATGCTTATACGTCTTAAGTTTTTGTAAATGGCCTTTTGTTAAGACGACTGTTTCTTTCCAACCTCCAATGCATCATACTTCCCCTTATGTACCCTTGGGCATTATTTCTAAATATATACACATCTTGTATACACCTAATGTGTATTCACAATTTTGTATTCTTTTCTTTAAAAGGGGCTTTCCCCAATAGTATCAACTTCAGGCTCCATAAAACCTAAATTAATCCCTGGTTAAGTATTATGTATCCCATTTTACAAATTAATGAATGAGGTTAAGTGGTTTTGCCCAGATTTCCACATCTGGATTTAAATTCAGGCATTTCCATGTTCAAGTCCATTTTTCTTTCCACTACTCCACAAAACATCTCTAGATGGTGAAAGAAAGGTTAAGAGGAATCAACTACTCTACTGGGAAAATCAGTTCTGGAACGTGGGTGGACAGGAGGCAAACCTGAGCCATCAAGATTCATGTGGTGGTGTTCTGGGTAACAGGTGGAGGCAAAAGATACAAAAGGAAAGGTCACTGAAGACAAATCACGATGACACAAAATCTATCTTCAGCTGGCTCTGCTGAGTGGTTGGAAAGCAAATACACTAAAATGCCTCCTGTGAGACACCACATACTTGGAACAGGAAGAGGTCTCTTTTTTCCAGATGTCTCTTCTTTTAACCTGCTTCTGGGAACAGATCTTGGTATCTCTTTGAGAGAGCCCGTGGCAGGTTGAAGTCAGACGTCAGGAAATCAAAGACATGGATTGAAAGAGACAGTTGTAGGGATTTACCCCAACTCCTCAATGAAGGGAGCCAGACCATGATGAGAGGCAACACACATAGTGGTTAACAGCATGAATGAACTTGGTTTCTGTTTGTGGAAGCTGTACGACTCTAAGCAAGTTATCTACTCTCTATGCCTCAGTTTCTTCATCTACAAACCAGCGTTAGCAAAATGAGTGCAGATTCCCTTGTGTACAATTCAGAATCCATAAATCTAAAACTACTTCAAACCTTATTTGGTGGATAGGGCTGATCGGAACTGATCTGGCAGTGAAATCTAACCTAATTCATGTAAAGGTATTTATTCCATTTAATGCAAAAATTCATATGCCTCCAACAGACACATAAAAAGATGCTCAACATCACTCATCATCAGGGAAATGCAAATCAAAACTACAATGAGAGATCACCTCACACCTGTGAGAATGGCTAAAACCAAAAACACAAGAAACAACAAATGTTGCCAAGGATGGAGAGAAAGGGGAACACATCTGGTCTTACGGCTTTCAGATAAGATACTATGGGTCTGAAGTGTCTCTCTCCTAAGGCCATTGTGAGGATTAAATTAGTAACATTGGAAATGTACTGAGAATAGTACTTGTCATAAAATAAGTACTCTACACAGGCGTGCTATTGTTCTTGGGAAACCCTTCTATAAGCAGATTCCTGAGAGATTTTATCTGACTCCTATGGAGGAGAAATCACTTGTTTATGAGACAATCTAGTTTAAATGCTGGACATTTCTAATCTAATCTTATAATAGCTGAACTGTCCCTTCCTCTAACGACCCTCCACTGGTCATAGTTAAATTTCTGTACAGCTTTTGCAGATAGCTGTTATGTCTGCCCTGTGTCTTCTTTTCTCCGTGATTAATTGTTCATAATACACTGCTCCCAGACCAACCTGTTAGCTCTGCCCGGACACACTCTAGTTTGGTAATATAGCCTTCCAAATACAGTGCCCAAAATAAAACCCAGAAATCCATATGGGTTCTGAGCAGCATAGAGTACAGTCCCTGTTTTTTTCTGCACTCCAGACTATGAAAAACAACTGTGTCAGTATGAAAACAGAAGTGAGATAGGAGGAGATTTGGAAAGACACAATCAAGGCCATCGCAGAGTTTCATTAGAAAAACATACTAAAAAAATTCAATTTCAAGCAATTTTTGTTTCTGGTTTCCCTGAACTACAATGGAAAACAGTCAGCAGCCTAGACCAATTCAAATACAAGAGTCAAACAGTGTAGAAGTAAGGTCAGTGACGTTATACGAATTCATTTACTGTGAAATACTACAGACAGTACTGCTGGCGCCTGTGTGAAGGTCACGGACCATATCCCACAGTCCAAGAAAAACTAATGATATTCCAACAGAAGGAGAAGAAGAACAGAGCTAAATAAAACTCTGACAAGTATCAGCATCAATTTACAGTAAATTACTGAAAAACAGAAGGACACCGCTCCCTCTGGTAGGCAGCTAGACTCTTCCTCATCTCTGGCCGTGACCCCTCTGGTTAAAAAGAACCTGAACAAATAAATCCACTGGAGGGGAAGAAATCCATTTCCCAGGTGGGCAATGTGATCACTCACTCAAGTTCTGACGGGGAAAATATTCTTCTCTTGCAGTGGCCATCTTGGATACCTGCAAAGTGTGCCTAGAATTCTAGATTCCTTGAAATTCTAGATTCCTGAATTCCATCTAACTCTTTGATTTCTGTCACCATCATCAAATGATCTGTACTGCAAATAAAGCAGACTTTGTCCTTGAACACTGGTGAGTAACTTAAAACAAATTTATTTGGTAAACTATACATACATAAATTTACCATTTTAACTATTTTTAAGTGGATTGTTCAGGGGCATTAAGTACATTCACAACATTGTGCAACCATCAACACTCCAAAAAATTTTCATCATCCCAAAGTGAACCTCTAAACACATCAAGCAATAACTCTGCATTCTCCCTCCCCCCAGGCCCTGATAACCTTTTCTGTCCCTGTGAATATACCTATTTTGAGTATGTCATTAATATGATTTGTGGAACCATACAATATTTTCTTCTTAAATCTGGTTTATTTCACTTAGCATAATGTTTTCAAGGCTAATCCATATTTTAGCATATTTCAAAATTTCATCACTTTGAAAACATGAATAATATCCCATCATATGCATATACTACATGTCAGTTATCCATTCATTTACTGATTGACATTTGGGTTGTTTCTATCTTTTGGCTTTTTGAATAATGCTTCTAGGAACAGCAGTATACAGTATCTGCTTAAATCCCAGCTTTCAATTCCTTGGGGGATATACTGAGAAGTGGAATTGCTATATCATGTGACAATTCTGTTTAACTTTTTGAGGAATCACCAAACTGGTTTTCCACAGCTGCAGCAGCATTTTACATTCCCTCCAGCAAAATACAAGTGTCCCAATTTTTCCACATCCTCACCAACACTTAGTTTCCTTTTGGAAAAAAAAAAAAAAGATAATTCATCCTAACAGGCATGAAAAATTGGACATTTTTTACTTTTACCTCTTCAAATATTTTTTGATCCCTTTCTTTCTGATACTTCAAATGCACACATAGTAGACCACTAGATATTATTCCATAGCTAGCAATGCTTTGCATTTCCAATCTTTTCTCACTGTGCTTCAATGTGGATTTTTTTTGATATGTAAATTATATCTTTATTTTTTTATGTATAATACATTTTATTATTTTTTTAACATTTATTTATTTATTTATTTTTATTTATATATGAAATTTATTGTCAAATTGGTTTCCATACAACACCCAGTGCTCATCCCAAAAGGTGCCCTCCTCAATACCCATCACCCACCCTCTCCTCCCTCCCACCCCCCATCAACCCTCAGTTTGCTCTCAGTTCTCAACAGTCTCTTATGCTTTGGCTCTCTCCCACTCTAACCTCTTTTTTTTTTTTCCTTCCCCTCCCCCATGGGTTCCTGTTAAGTTTCTCAGGATCCACATAAGAGTGAAACCATATGGTATGTGTCTTTCTCTGTATGGCTTATTTCACTTAGCATCACACTCTCCAGTTCCATCCACGTTGCTACAAAAGGCCATATTTCATTTTTTCTCATTGCCACGTAGTATTCCATAGTGTATATAAACCACAATTTCTTTATCCATTCATCAGTTGATGGACATTTAGGCTCTTTCCATAATTTGGCTATTGTTGAGAGTGCTGCTATGAACATTGGGGTACAAGTGCCCCTATGCATCAGTACTCCTGTGTCCCTTGGATAAATTCCTAGCAGTGCTATTACTGGGTCATAGGGTAGGTCTATTTTTAATTTTCTGAGGAACCTCCACACTGCTTTCCAGAGCGGCTGCACCAATTTGCATTCCCACCAACAGTGCAAGAGGGTTCCCGTTTCTCCACATCCTCTCCAGCATCTATAGTCTCCTGATTTGTTCATTTTAGCCACTCTGACTGGCGTGAGGTGATACCTGAGTGTGGTTTTGATTTGTATTTCCCTGATAAGGAGCGACGCTGAACATCTTTTCATGTGCCTGTTGGCCATCCGGATGTCTTCTTTAGAGAAGTGTCTATTCATGTTTTCTGCCCATTTCTTCACTGGGTTATTTGCTTTTCGGGTGTGGAGTTTGGTGAGCTCTTTATAGATTTTGGATACTAGCCCTTTGTCCGATATGTCATTTGCAAATATCTTTTCCCATTCCGTTGGTTGCCTTTTAGTTTTGTTGGTTGTTTCCTTTGCTGTGCAGAAGCTTTTTATCTTCATAAGGTCCCAGTAATTCACTTTTGCTTTTATTTATTTATTTATTTATTTATTTTTAAATTTTTTTTTAATGTTTATTTATTTTTGAGAGACAGAGAGACAGAGTGTGAGCGGGGGAGGGGCAGAGAGAGAGGGAGACACAGAATCGGAAACAGGCTCCAGGCTCTGAGCCATCAGCCCAGAGCCTGACGCGGGGCTCGAACTCACGGACCGCGAGATCGTGACCTGGCTGAAGTCGGACGCTTAACCGACTGCGCCACCCAGGCGCCTCCACTTTTGCTTTTAATTCCCTTGCCTTTGGGGATGTGTCGAGTAAGAGATTGCTACGGCTGAGGTCAGAGAGGTCTTTTCCTGCTTTCTCCTCTAAGGTTTTGATGGTTTCCTGTCTCACATTCAGGTCCTTTATCCATTTTGAGTTTATTTTTGTGAATGGTGTGAGAAAGGGGTCTAGTTTCAACCTTCTGCATGTTGCTGTCCAGTTCTCCCAGCACCATTTGTTAAAGAGACTGTCTTTTTTCCATTGGATGTTCTTTCCTGCTTTGTCAAAGATGAGTTGGCCATACGTTTGTGGGTCTAGTTCTGGGGTTTCTATTCTATTCCATTGGTCTATGTGTCTGTTTTTGTGCCATCAACGTGGATTTTTTGACAGTTTTTTTTATTTAAAAAATTTAAATGTTTATTTATTTTTGAAAGAGAGAGAGAAACAGAGCGTGAGTGGGGGAGGGGCAGAGAGAGAGAGAGAGAGAGAGAGAGAGAGAGAGAGTGAGTGGAGGAGAGCAGAATCTGAAGCAGGCTCCAGGCTCTGAGCTGTCAGCACAGACATGGGGCTGGAACTCAGAGACTATGAGATCAAGACCTGAGCTGAAGTTGGATGCTTAACTGACTGAGCCAGCCAGATGTCCCCTTTTTTAAAATTTATATTCAAGTTAGTTAATTATACTTTTTTTTCTATGTCATGTTCACTGCCCTTTTCTTCTCTAGTATCTAATTTGTTATTATATCCAACCAGTGTGTTAATTTTGGATACTTTATTTTTAACTCTAGAAGCTTGAGTTGAGTCCTTCTTAAATCTTCCATTTCTCATCTCATCATTTTCAGGCTTTTCTTCATCTTTGAGTATATGCAGCATATTTCTAATGGATGTATTAATATTCTTGTCTGCTAATCCCATAGATGGCCATTTCTGAGTCTGGGTCTTGTGACTAATTTTTCTCTTGGTTATCATTCACATTTTCCTGATTCTGCATATGTCTGTTACTTTTGTGCTGAATTCTGGATATTGTAAATTGTAAGTTGTTGGATGCTAGACTTCACTGCATGTATTTAATGAGTATTGGACTTTTCCTTTTGGAATTTTTCTTGAAGATAGTTGATCCTTTTGAGGTATGTTTTTAGGCTCTTCTAAGGTGGTTTAGAATAGCATTTAATTGAGATATAACTCAGCCCCACTTCAAAGTGTTGCCTTTCTAGGATTTCTACTAACTTTCATGTGTATTTGCCAAGGTCTTTTTACTCTGGCTTGAGGGAATTCAAATGGCTCCCAGTCCTGTGTAAACTTAGATTATGATTTGTCTTATAGCTGACTCACAACTGGTCTTTTACTGGAAGTTGTTCTTGCCCAGACTTCTGGAATTGCACCATATTCCTGTGTAGACTGATGTTCACACAAAGATTAAAGAGTATTCCTACAAAGGCTGCTTGAGCTCTTTTTGTATAGTCACTTTTCTCAGGTATTCTGCCTTGGTCTTCTTATAGTTACTATGAATTACCTCGGTCTTCTTGAACTACAATCTGTATCTACTTCACTTCATGGGATTGCCACACTCTGTATGGTTTCCCCTTTCAGAATCACAGTCTTGGGGCTATCTACAAGCAGAAAGTCTATGCAGTTGTAGGTCTTGGCCCATTTGTTTTTGTTTTCTCGGGGACTGCAATCTTTGGCTCTTGTCCAATATTTGAAAACAATTATTTCCTACATTTTGTTCAGTTTTCTAGTTGCTTATGTTCAAAAGGCAATTACTCCATCATGGCTAGAAGCAGAGCTTCTTGGAAAGTCATTTTAATAACTCAGCTAAAGTGTCAGCTCAGGGACAACATTCTGCTATTATAATACCGTCCTTCAGAATACTGTATACACATGCTAAAGCAACAACTGGTATATGGTACCACGTCCCCAGTTTCTAGCAACACTGGTCCAGGAAATGTGAGGTGGAAGTAGATTGGCCCCTCTCTCACCATCACTCTTCATGATCCAATTAAAACGTTGTGTTTCCTACCCCCACAGTTGAAGTCTGTTGAATTAACAGTCCTACTTTCAGGTAGGAAAATATTTCCTTAGGGGAAGTGGTTGGGCTTCCTCTGAACATGAAGACATTACTACCACCTGTTAACTTCAGACCTTTCAAGGCAGTAGACCAGCAAGCCAAGAAAGATGTTACCATATTGGCAAGAGTCACTGACTCTGATTACCATGAAGAGCTAAACTGCTGTTACAGAGTGTGTGCAGGGAGGAGAGTGCCTGGAATGCACCAGATTCACTGGGACAGTGATTGATGATTCTATGACTGGTGATGATGAAATGGGAAACTGCAATCTGGCCTTACACAGACAACTAAAAATTCTGACCCCTCGGAGATGGAAGTCTGAGTCATCCATCAGGAGAGCAACCTAGATCAGCCAAAGGACTGGCTGAGGGTAAGGGAAATCTGAGCAGATAGTGGGAAAGGGAAATGACAAATTACAGACTTGGGGCCTGGTGCAGCAGAAGTGATTGTAACTTCTTCTACTAGCCTTCCTGTATTAAATCTTTGTAGCATATGGATCTGGCCACTACCTTGAAGAAGACTCTGGACAGACTGGACTAAATGGAGAGC